TGGTTTCTTTACCCATTGGTTTGCTTTACGTTAGGGAAAACAATTAACGAAACGTACGGACAGATGAAACGAGTGTACAGTAGGGATTAATTTTGCCTATTCCCAAAATTAAAATTGACAACGAAAACAAACTGTTACGATACAATTCAGGACGAATGATTCCGCAAAAGAAATATAACTGCTTCAAAAATTTTTAAACCACTTTCAGCGTTGTATTCACTCAAAAGAAGCATACTTTGTATAAAAAAACATAAAAGCACCAAATAATTGTATTCTCCCATTTATTCGATACCAGTTGTATTAAACCTTGGGCAGACTGTGTATTATGTAAGTAACGTGCGCCGAACGGATGGGCAATAATAAGTACGTTTTTTAATTTATGTACATAACTAGTTGGTCCACTTGTTCCTTAGAGTTAAAAATAAATATCGCATCAAGATTCAATAAGAGAATAAGATACTTATGAAATTTGTGTTTTATTTTTCAAGAAGTGATAAATATTGTAACAAAAATTATATTACTTCTGAGATGAATAATGATCTTTAATATTATTATCTACACGTCATTGTTGCATTTAAAAATGTAGAAACTTGCAAATTGAAGTATGATAAGAATAAATTAGAGGTGCGATATTCACAATTAAAAGTCGGAGCGTTAAGGATTAAGAAAACTGATGTTTAAATTAGAATATTAGAAGTGGTGAAATTTCACAACCAATTAATTCTTAAAGTCTGGCTCGTTGAATAACTTGTAACTATTTCAGAGTTTTTTGATAAACTAAATTTTTGGTGTTTCTCATAATAAAGAATATGCAACCCGTATGACGTCATTAAGACATTTTTTTGCCAAAATGCACGTAAAATTGTAGTTAGGCTGACTTTTGTGGTACTTCTTTAATATTAATCATTACAAAACCTGTTCAAAAATCATCTAGAGTATCGGTTTCACCTTTACGCAAAATTTTATGAAAAAATATTCAGTAGTTTTTGTGTGATGACACGGCATACATAAAATTGAACTCAGATATACAGTGCCTGGCCATCGAATTAAAACCATCGGTCTTTATGAAATGAACTCACACTATCATACCTTAACTCGTTATTTAAGCAATGACGAGTATATAAGGTAAATGCAAGGTAAATGGTCCTACTACAAACTTTGTAAAAATGTAAAGCAAAACAAAAAATTGATAATTCATCATTGAAAAAAATGCTGCTATTAGAAATTTAAAAATGATCAAAAAATAATAAAATTCATGAACACGAAAAATTAAAGAAAGAAATAATTTTCTGAAACTGAATTGATTTCAATGTATTTTTCAAACATGTGTTCTTCTCGATAAATATCCTGTAATACCCTGAATACCCTGAAATACCCTGTAATGTACACACGGTAAAATATACAAATTAATTTAGGGAATACGAAAAAAGTTATATTTAGGGAATATAAAAAAAAGAAATAATCAATTAAGTTTATGAAAAGTAATACAGTGTGCGGAGAAGATTCAGTACATCAAAGCGAATAAGGAAACCTTTTTTTTATAAATACATAACAATTTTATTGACAATATGAAGAAAACATATGAATAAGTGACATTTTATTATATTTTATTAGAATTTCTAAATCTTATAGTATTATAAAATTTCAGATATTTTATAGTTATTTTTAATTTTTAATTTTATACGATGAGTATATCACATCGGAATAAAGTTTTAGATTGACATTAGTATATATAATCGAACGCAGCTAACTAATTAAAAAGTTTCGCTTTAAAAACAAATTACGAAACAACTGTGAACATACATAAAAATAATAAAAGGTAAGGTCACCGTCACGTCGAAGATCAAATTTTTCTGGGATTTTCATTCAACCCTTTTCCTTCTTCTTTCTTTCTCCAATCAATTTGTTCTTTTTGTTTCTCTCTCTTTCTATCCCTACTCACGCTACTTTAAACTCAATCCGTCAATCTTCTTTTTAACTTGACGTCTGTCAAAGTTAAGTTAAATTTCGTTTATATATAGTTTTTTTTGCCCACGCGTGCAATTTTATTATATTAATTTGTGAGAAATGCCAAATGCCTCGTCTATCTATTCTTTTTTTTGGTGAGCATCTAAACACAGAAAACCGAGATTAATGGTCACTGCCATTTGAACCCACGGTTGAGACGCTCGAAAAGATGACGTATGAAAAGAGTCCTGTAGTAGCATGTAAACAAATCGCATAAAACATAAGAAAGTGTAAATTTAAGAATGTATCGTACGACTTGAAAAGAGACAGAAAGAGAGTGGGGAAATAAGAAAGGTAATGGAATGGGGGTGGTGTTTGTACCAATTGTTTACTACTTCGACGTCTCGGACCCCACCCGACGTATGTAACTGGAATTCTCTTATATATACTAACTGATACGTAAGTCGAGCACTAACGAGAAACAGGTCTGCATGTTATGCGACATCTACCAATTGCAATGATAAACATGGTTGTTGTACTGGCAAGCCTACTGACAGGCGTAATTATAAACAAGTGATTTGTGATAAACGTATTGCGGGTGTTCATGCGACTCTCAGAAACTCTTATGATTATGCACGTTTCTTGAAATACAGAGTACGGCGATAAAATGTACATGCAATTTATTGTTGTATTGAAATTCTATTTCGTAATTATGTCCCACTTTTATTTTTATACAACTTCGTATGTTTGTGAAACAAGCAATAATAAAGGACACGTATGTTTTTATTAGCTGAGACTTTAAGGGATGAAAGCACTCTTCAAAGTTCTGATTTGTAAGAATTATCTTGAAAACAAATGAAGATATATGAAAACCTTTGAAGAGAAAGTTTTACAGTAATGGAGTATATGCAAATTGGCCAAAATGTAATTTATTTATAATAAAATAATTTTTATCACCTTATTTTTCAGCTTATTCGAATTTGTATGATAGCGAGAAATGAAGAGCATTTCATTTTAAGTTCATTGATATACAGGGTGGCTCACCACATTTTGCCATCCAGATTTGCGTCATTATTAGTACTCATAGCAAACAATGTTTCAGATGAAGTTGAATGGTTTTGAGAGGGGCATATGCTGATGGTATATATATTTTTTTGTAGGTGGACGTATAAAGGACACATGAAGGTCATTAATGTTTTTTTAAATGGAATCATACATTTTTATTGCATCAGCTGATACTCCTTCATATTCTTTATAAAAAAGTATTAATCTATTTATATGAAAAAATCATTAGTTTAGGAGATATTTTAATTCTAATTTGTTAGGAAATCGTGACTTTCTGGTCAATATTATGAATTGCCCTAACTGAACAGCAAATGTTTCTCTACATGCCTTGAGAGGTCACGTGTCACCAAACGAATTGTGAGTTTTTGTTTTTTTTTTGTTACGCAGTAACAGTGAAATTTTATCTCTTACGTCTCTAATACGATGAATACGGCGATACAGTGAATTATCACTTCATAATGAAGTATTCTAAAGAAGAAAAAATAGATATGTTATCAGTTTATTTTGAAGCTGGGGAAAATGCTACACATGCAGAAAGATTATATACTACGGAATGTTAGTAAGTTATTAATTTCTCGATTGAGAAAGTGTTCTGATGCAAATGGTCGCCACATTGAACCTTTTCTGTAAATAGACATTAAAATTAAAATA